ATAATTCAGGGACTTCATTGATGCATCTTTAGCTTGGAATGAAACTTTGACTTGACAGAAGAACTTAGTTTTTTATCAGGACTGCAAGAACTTCTTTTGACATATTATTCTTCCCCTTCAGTTTCTAGTTCACCAATTTTCCCTTTGAATGTGAGAGCAGAGTTTATTCTTAATTTTGATGGAAGTGTCATACGGATTGGTGGCGTTTTTGTCTCAAGGCAAGGTAGTGTGATTGATATGGGTTTGTAGTGGGTCCATAGGGGAGACTACTTCAACCAGGCTGAGATTTTGGCAGTGTTAACAGCGCTAAGAATTGCTAGAGATCGGAACTTCTCTCGTTTATTAGTAGTGGGTGATTCAGTCAACACCATAAATTGGTTAGAAACGAATCAAGGAGGCCMATGGAAATTGAATCACCTATTGGCTGAAGCAAGGTACCTTTCTTCTTCTGTGACTGTCTTTCAGATGGGTTCCARGAGATCAAAATCCGTTAACTGATAGTTTGGCAAAAACATGGAGTAAAAAGCTTGGATTTGTACTTTTTGGGCCCTTGCGCTTATTATCTCTCTTCGTACAACACTTTGTTATCTTCTCTCTCTCTCCAAAAGAAAATAATTCGACTGTGAAAAGTAGGGATGAACCTCAGAGACAAGAAATTGAAAACCAAGAAATGTATAATAATATTGATGATGATGATGATGATTAAGTGACCTCTTCGAATGAYCCTGTGATGAATCAATTTTGGCAAATGCACAATCACCAAATATCCGGCACAATATCAAACATAAAAGAAAAGAAAAAGAAAAGTGAAGAGTAGTAGAACAAAAGATCTCTGTAAAACAACATCGAATCAAAGGGATCCACATCATAAACAGAAAAGAGTATGCATCAGTAAATGAATAAGAGAGAAACACATCAGAAATGAGTTAGATATGCATGAGAGGTTACGGAGAATGAGATTATGACAACGCACTACACAAACAGAAAAAAMTAAACTGAGAAAATTTCAGTGTAATTGCAGAAAAAAAAAAAGGAAAACGTAAGGAGGAATAGTTAAAGATAAACCAGAAGAAGAAAACATGAAAACTAGTCAACTACATCAACACGAATTTAAATTCCAGAAATGACAAAATGACCCAGAAAATGAAAACGGTAGCAGAAGGTCAGAAAAYCAGAGCTTACAACGTCCCCAGTTGAAATCCCCATCTGGGTCAGAGAAGAAGCGAGCTTCAAACACCTTTCCAGCGTTTCTCTCCATGTGTACTTCACATTTCCATAAACGACAGAGACCTTATSTCTGTAAACTTTAGCGGATCGCAACAAGAAGCTAATGGGAGACAGAGGAACATAATTCGCAGGGCACCGAAGGAGACCCTCCATTGATTTCAAGCTCGAWTGTCGATTTTTCAGATATTACTACTTGGTACTTACTACTGACAGCAGTGATGAGTTCGATTCGAACAGGAGAGAACGTTGGTAATAAATAGAAACACATAGATGAGAAGCTTACGAAATGCATGACACATCCATACTTGGATCTGTGGATTAAGTGTAGATAGGCACACAGTGAGCACTGAGCATAATACAAAACGACGTGAAGAGTGACGAATGACGATAAATTCGGATTCTAGAAAACGGGTYCAGTCCGCCGGAGCTTAGGCTATACGTTTTGTTCTTAAGAAAATGAGAAAATAAGGGAAAAAAGATTTTTTTTTTAATTAAAATTGAAATGAATTTGCTTCCTTTCACTCTCCATAAGGGAAAGAAATTGTTTCTTTAATTTTCAATTTCACTGTCAATCAAATTAAAGAAAGTTACTTCCAAATAACAGAGATGGCTGTTCATGTCCCTATTACGAAAGGTGCAGTCCTATGTGTTTTATTACTGACGTGGAACACTATCATCCATTCGTGGAATACTATCATCTTTTTGGGACTGATTTTTAAGAAAAGACGCCCACTGTTTGGTAAGGTGATTTTTATCACCGTTTTTCATGTATGTACTAATAGATAAATACCACATAGGATATACATCAGCCAACGATTGAGGGAAACGAGTCACCATGGTCCCGATTTTTGAGACTTGCCCGATTTTTTAATAATTAACTGAACCAAACGATGAGATAGATGGACATTTGTTGAAACGCCTATATAGATCCAACATGACATCATTTTTCTGAAAAACGGCCACGGTTTCAAACATCCCCTAAGAAAAATCTGTGATCGTTGGTTTAAGAGGATAAGTGGAACAAAATTATGATGTACCTAGCACTATTTTGTTAGTTGGTTTAATGGTTTGTCCCATCTAACCTCTACGCTTATTAATATGGAACTTTACACTTCACGATTTCACGTTACTTTTAAATGTTGAGGATAGGTGGAACTTCTATTATTTGTTACTAGCACATTTAGATCCCTTAACATGCTTTGAAGCAAATAATACATCATTGGAAGGTAGGGGTGTCAATAGACCGATTTTGGTTTGGGTCCAATCCGATCCAAACCTTGTTAAATTGGATTTGGGCGGTTTATTATAATTATTAGATTGGATCAATCCAAAATAAATTGGTTCATATTATTATTGGTCTGAATTGGACATAAACCAAATTTTCAATAATCCGTTAATGAGGCCAAATCCTTGTCCAATTTGAAATTGATCAAAACTGAAGCCGGCATAAAATCACTTTTATGAAAGTACTTTTACAAAAGCATTTTTTAAAAGATTTTATGAAAAATACTTTTACGAAAGCACTTTTGGGAAAGCAGTTTTATGAAAGCATTTTTATAAAAGCACTTTAATAAAAGTACTTTTACGAAAGCACTTTTATGGAAGTATTTTTATAAAAGTACTTTTATGAAAGTACTTTTACAAAAGCACTTGTATCAAAATACTTTTATAAAAGTACTTTTACGAAAACACTTTTATAAAAACACTCCTATGAAAGTACTGTAAAAGTACTTTTACAAAAGCACTTGTATGAAAGTACTTTTATAAACACTTTTACAAAAGCACTTCTATAAAAGTACTTTTATGAAAACACTTTTATGAAATACTTTCATAAAAGTGTTTTTATAAAAGAACATTTATGAAAGTACTTTTATGAAAACATTTTTACAAAAGTGTTTTTTCAATGCCAAAAGGATATATTTTTTGTAATTTTCAGATTTTTTTCATTTTAATATATTTTTATAATTTTTTATATTGTTTTGTTTTTTATATAATGGATTTGATTGAATTTGGTCTGAATTGGGTCCCGCCCATTTGACCAAATCCAGTCCCATTGACACCTCTACTTCCTAATCCAACTTCCTCACTGAAATAAAAGATTCAATTTAAATGTTACGTGTTCCATTTTATACAAACTCCCAGTACAAAACCCTTAGTGGTAACCCCATGGGCTATATTTAGTATGGTACCATTTATTAAAACTGGGACCAAATCCAGTCCCTTCCTTGGTACGGGGCTGCTTGAATAAGAATCATTTGTTAGCTGTACATTTGTATTTATCTTCTTCAATTTAAAAAGCTTGAAATAGTTCAGCCCATAGTTAGTAGGGGTCGTTCCAAGTGTAATATTAAATTCATGCTGCCAATCTGTCATTAGGTCATAGGTGCCTATTCAGAGTGTGTGCACAGAATGTTGCGACTTTACATCACCCCAAAAAACTTAATGTACATGTAAGGGAGATATCCCCAGAATACAAATACAAATATATACAAAATAATATAAAATATAAGATTTTGCGCTTTATATATTTGTATTAGCACTCCTTTCAAATGGAGCCCAATGTGCAACTGGATTGTATTTACACAAAATTTGTGATTGCAATCAAAGTAACAACAGTGGCCAAAGATTAATATATAAAAACTGCTTTTTATTTGAAAATTTAAATAGGATTCGGTCCTGTGCGAACATGTGAGCACAATCCATTGCAGTCTTAAATATCTCCTTGTGAAAAATATACAAATATGGAGATATTTGGTATAAGTGTCAACATGGTCTTGTGAGCACTGAAATTGATCTCTTTTATTTATTTATTTATTTTTTTGCAGTTGAAAACTCAATATTCATAATCATAGGGACATTTTAATGCAGTACTTCGGATCAGGTAAGCACAACGTTGTAAGCACGTTTATGAGCACTTGAAATTTTTTTTGACAGCTGTCCCTTAAAATACCCACATCCCACCCTTGAAAAAGATTAAAACATACTTTTAGCAATTGTCAAAATACTTATCAAGTGTTCATTTAACGTGCTTACTTATGTTGTGACTACTCGATCAAGTATTTCAATAGTTGGTTTTATTTGAATTTCAAATATAAATATAATTATTAGACAAATAGTAAAACTCAAATAAAATCTTCTTAAATAAAACTCAAATAAAATAATATTACTATAAAAAAACAAAAAAAAAAGTAAAA